CCGGTTGATGGCCCTGGTAGCCCCCCCGGGGCAGATGCGGCAGATGAAAGAGACGGCGGCGCTGGTGCTTACGGAGCTCGCAACGGAGGACGGGGAACTGCAGGAGACGGTCGGGGGGTCGGGCACGATCGCGGTGCTCGTGGGGATGCTGAACGGGCCGGGGAAGGGGAAGCTCGCGGCAGCAAGTGAGTGGATATGGAACATGGTTACGATGTGCACTTAGAAACTAACAGGGATTGAAGGCATGGTTGCTTGAACTAAAGAGATAAGAGCACGCATTGATTCTTGACCAATTGGTTGCTTGACCGTGCTAGTCCCGTCCGTGTCTCTCTGATGCTCTGGGGCTTCTCTGAACTTGTGCATCGCCGAAAGTCATCAAATCCTCAAGATATTACAGGAGCAGAGAGTCCAGTAGACGCGAAGAGTGTCTCTTTAAGCCTCCGGATCGTGGTTCGTGTCGATCATGTTGCACCTTAACCAAGCGGGAGAAGACTTGCAAAGTACGAGCCGCCAAGTATGGGCACGGATCCACTTAAAGGGGCCTCGCGGCTTGATAAGAAATGCTCGCCAGAGCACCCAAGAAAAACACGTCAACTCGACCAATTTATTTTGCATGAGCGCCACGTTCTAAGGAGCTCAACGTCCCAACCCTTTTTGCAGGGGCGCTGTCTATCCTGACCTCTCGGAGCGAAGCCAACAAGCACCGCGCGCGCAACGCCGGCGCTGACGTCAGCGTCCTTAGCACCCTCAAGTTCCCCGGGCAGACGGAGCCGCCAGGGGCATCCCCCGAGAAGCTCGCCAAGACGGGGCCACAGCCCCCGGGGGGCCGGCCGACTTATCAGGGGGCGCGTCAGCCGCTCACGCAAGTGCCTGGGGGAGCCCCCCGGGCAGTCAACGGCCCGGGCAAATTTTCGGGGGGGAGGATGATCAGCGGTTTTGGGGGGTGGGGCAGAACCAGGCGCCGAGGGGCCCGCAGAGCGTGCGCCAGGTGGGGGTCGGGGGGGGTAACTTTGGCCCGGGACATTACCCCGGGCAGATGGCCGGGGGAAGGGGCCCCATTGTGCATCATATCCGGGTGCCCCAACCACGCGCCCCTCAGTACTACCGACCGGCTTATACGGTAGCACCGGCGACGAAGGCCGTCCCTCAGCGGCCTCCGAGCGCATTCCCACCATCGGTCATTTACACCCGGGCGCCCGTCCAGCGCCCGGTAGGAGTTGCCGGGCAGTCCTACGCGGCTCCCGCGCAACAAAACGTGGTGCGAACGCTTTGCGCCGGGGGTGAAATCGGCAAACGGGCCAGGGCGCCCGCCTGGTGTGGAGATGAGTACGCAGGCGCAGTCGGTTCCGGTGCCAGAGGGCCGGAATCCGGCCGGAATGGGAAGCCAAACGCAACCGGCAACCGCCCAGGTCAAGGTTCCGGTGGCAGAGGTCGGGCTTCAGGTGTCCGCGCAGATTCCGCCTGGGGGGCCGACACAACCAACGGAAACCGGAGCTCAAGGTCATACCGTCCTGAATAGGGGTACTGTCAAAGGCCCTGCGGATCAAGCAGCGGTTACTGAGCGCCGTCCGATGGAGAGTGGTCCGAAAGCGACGGCTGAGATGGGCTGCCAGGGCCAGCCGTTGCCGGTGCAACCTAGACCGGTCGCCACTGAACTGTCTGAGTGGTCGAAGGTACAGATGAAGGTAGTTGCTGACGTACAACCTAAGCCCTTAGTGGCGATCGAAACGGTACCCAAAGCCACACCGGCTGTGACCGAACCCCCGAAACCGGCGGTTAACCAGTCCCCAGCAACTAACCCGGCCCCTGACCCAGTTACTCATGAGATCAGTCGCCCTTCACCGATGCCTAACATGGAAGAGAATCTTGCTAATCGGCAGGAGCCGACAAAAGCTTTCCCAGACGAAGCCGCCCGCGCGCCTGCCACGTCAGCGGACGTGGACGGGGCGCCCAGGATGACGTCAGCGGCCCGCGCGGGTTCGGATCTGAGCCTCCAGATGCTGGCGGAAGTCACTGCGGCAGCGGAAGCGGAACGAGAACTAGAACGGACTCAATCAGAGGTAAAGCTCGGTTCCACAATTTCGGGGGGGACAAAACGGGCGCGTGGGGAGGCGGGCGCAAGGCCGCCGCTTGCCGAGGGAACGAGTTCCGGCGGTGCGCAGCAGCGGACTCCGGTGGAGTCGGACGGGCTCCCGCGGCCACCCAAGAAGCCGCGGACGGGCATGCACCGGACGCCGTCCAAGCTGGTGGCGGAACGCTTTCCGAGTTTTGCGGAAGACGCAAAAGAGCAGCAAGGCCAACTGAGGGGGGGGAGTCCCGGCTCGGATGAAGCGGAGCGGAAAGACAGGGGCAACGAAACGGCGTCGGAACGAGGTCGCCGCACGAGACTCCGTGGGCCTCCTCAGAGGCTCGGTTAGTGGGCCAAACGGCTGCTTGTTTCGTATTCAAAGAGAAACTGCGACAGTCTGGGAGTCAGCCTTCATAATGACCGTTCTGAGCATTTCCGACTACATGAGCGGGTTTCAAAACCACTGTATACTAGCAATATAAGTTAAAGCGACTTGATTAAATCAGCGCCGGGCCAAAGCTTGCAAAAGCGTTCATTTTTCGGGCCGCCATGCTGCAGTCTTTATGCATTTCGACAAACCTTCCTGCCACCACTATATACTGCTCCAAAGTATAACGATCGATGCAAATGGATTAGTACTACAGCGTGTAAGTGGCGACATGTTTTTATACAACGCCGCGGCGTCTTGCAAGACACCTAGGGCATCATTCTCCATGCAGCTTGATTGTCTGCACTACTCTTCAGAGCGCCTAGCTTGCACCGCATATCGGATGTAAATTGCGCTGCATTGACGCGATGGCAAGCGGCGCATCTGAGGAATCTATATCGTCGCTTGTGCTGGCATACAGTGCGCACTGATAGCCATGAACAATCTACAACTCATGCCGCCGATCATGATGGCACACGGGTGCCTGCCTTTTCGTGTAGGAAAGAAGAGTTACACCGGACTCGGGAGACCGCGCGCCGCGCACGCTGGCAGATCGGACTCGGACCATGACAGCGTGACACATCCTAAATCAAATCAAACATGGTCGGAAGTCTACGTTCAGGATAAAGGGGCCGAAGTCCTGTTACCGGTGAATTCAATGAAATGATTCAAAGGAGCTTCAACCTTAAGGACCTAAGCGCAGTCAGGCGATGCGAACGGGTAGATTACAGCCAAAACCCCTCTCGGTGACAGGTCTCTGACACGGCGCTCGAACTAGTCATATGTTTGTGTAAAAGGCTTTTTTTATCCAGCCCCGATACTACAAATTGTAGCATACCGTCGCCTGACATACAGTACACTACGCGGATTGCCTGTCCCACACTTCCTGATCCTGCCCTTACGGCATATAAGCTACTGCAAAATGCCTCTGTGGATCTGAGATACGCTCCCTGTGATCTTGTCGCGCATCCGTACGTGTCGCGCTTAGGCAAGAACAGCTCCCACTACTGCAAGAAGTTGCCTTTTGATCTCTAGCTAAAAGTGCTGCCAAACGCAGCTAGCACAACCAAACTGCCAAAAGAGCTGCCGTCATTAAGTTAGCGACCCCAGTCGCAAAGCTGTCTACAGTCAACCCAGCTTAGTCTACAGTTGGAATGCTGATCGTCTCCCACACTTTTCCGAGGCGGACCGCAGTGGTAGTCTGGGTATGTGCCCTATCCTTGCACGTCCCAAACTCGGCAGCCTCAGGTTACGGCACCGAATTCCCACTGGCAACACGAGACCCTTCCGCATCAATCCAACCCACGCAAGCCCTCAACTGGCGCTGGCCCCCTCCTCCGGAGCAAACAGCTCCGCGTACGACGTCAGCAGCATGCCCATGTACTCCAGGATGACGTCATCCTTCGTCAGCTGCTCGACCAGCGCGAGGGACCGGACGGCCATGTCCCGGAGCTCCTCCTGGCGACCCTCCGCGCCTTGGAGCACGGTCAGAAGGTCGCCCAGATCTTCCGCGTAACGCACGTAATGCGTACCCGCCTCGAAGAAGAAGTCGGAGAACTCGCGGTAGTGGGTCGACTGTATGGAAAAGGGCAGCCGATTAGTTGGGGGGTTTATTCAACGGCCAACAACTGGAGACGGGAAATACGACCCGGAATCGACAACGATGGACGAATCTGGGGAAGGATTTCGGATCATGCTCCGGAGATGCTATGAGGTTATGGATCCGGCACAAGACCGGCGACTGATCCCGAGGATTTTGAGTTTCTGGACATAAACAGTGACTTTGACTGCCCGCAAGTGAAGTACTCAATTCGGAAAGAACCGCCATGGGAAGAGCCACTTGTTTTCTTTTAGGGATTTCCATCTTCTGGGACGAGCAAGGGTGTCGCAACGGAATCCAAAACGAAGTTGACCGCTTGCAATCGGGAAAGAATCAGGAGGGTATAATGCACGCGCGCACCTGCTTGAAGATTGTGGCCCCCGACGCGAGCAGCTGAAAGAAGCGCGAGCTCCACGACTCGCCGTCGATGTCCACCAGATACTTGCGCTCCATGTAGTCCGTGAAGTTAGCCAGCCGGTCAGCGTAACCCAGCTCCTGGTTAAGAAGTACAAGGAGGTTGAGAAAACTCAGTAACGGGACGCGGTTGGGGAACTGGTTTGCTTTGCCGGTCAGCGTAACCCAGCTCCTATTTGAGCAAAACCCGCGGGAGACGGTTGTGAGTAGTCTGGCGAAGTCGGCTGGCAAGGTACCGCTCGCAACGTTCATTGGTTAAACCCTCCTCATTTGGTGAGCTTTTTTTCGTTTTGTTGGATTTCTTTCCCGTATGCAGCCGGTGAGAGGGCGAGGGTTGGTCTGCGTAAGACAAGTCCTGGTTTTGCTCCGGAAGCAAGAGCGGATCATAACCCGGCCTTGTTCGTTCTAGCGCGGAAACTTTCGTAAGGCTTTGACTGTCATCCACAACGGGCTTTTGAAGGACAGATGGTGAGAGTCGTGACTGAAAGAATTTGCCGCTCTCGCATCGTGCTTTGCCTTCAGCGGTCCAAGAGAAAGGACAAAACGACGGCGTCAACGCTTCGCTTCGACTTGAGGATCTCAGAAAAGTTGAAGGGTAGGATTCGAACTGCGAAGGTTATTCAAAGACGAAGTGGACAGATCGCAGATTATATCAGGACAGACAGCACAGAAAGGCTAAGGCTTCGGCAGCTGTCCTGTTTGCGGGGCACCGAACAAAGGCGGACATTCCGCAGATTTGAGATGAATCGGCTGGGGGGACAAGCCTCTATGCTGTTCGTTACCGTCGATAATATCATTGTATAACATGCTCCAGGTTGCTCCTAAAGAGTTCCTTAGCGGTGGTCCAACTCGCGGGCCTGGTCTCAAAAGCTGATAGCTGAAGCTCGAGATTGTACTCTTCGACTGGCTTCACCGGTAAGATTCGGACGGCTGTAGCAGAAGTTTGCCCGTTGCCGGTGGCCGGTGGTTCTGAGTCGCAATGCATATTTTAGATAGAAAATCAAGCGATCAACCCCACATTTACCCCAGCCGATTGCTACTGGATTCCGGACATGCTACACCCAATACTAACTCCTCCTTCTAGAGACTTCCAACGTGGTAAACAATCTAGTTCCAAGGAGCAGATTTGGCCACCGTTCGAGCAAGAACAGAAAGCGCCTTGCTTGTTGCATTGCGAGATCAGGGAGCGCTTCACTTGTCTTTAAGGCGCAATTTTGACCACCCAATAAGCAAGAAAAGGGAGAGCTCACCTTGCCGATCGCTTCTCTCGCGGCCTGGGTACACTGCCCGTCGGCGCACTTTGTGAACATGGCGTCGAGAAGTTCGGGGTTGGCCTTGGACAGCATCACCAGCTGGCTGCGCGCCTTCTCCTTCCAATCTTCAACCCGGTACAGACCGCCTGCGGAACAGAGAGAGCGGTTCGTACCGGCTTTTTGACAATGCGGCCTCTCTGAAAGTAAAGTGAATCGAGGGGCGATTGTAAGCTATTTGTCGGGGATAGAACTGGCACGAAGCAGAGATAGTTGTTCTAAGGTTAGGGATTGTAAAGAGCAAAGCGTGGGCAATCTTGATAAGAACTCTCCAGCGGGTTACATTTGGTGAGCGTTTCGTTGAACGATCAAGGACAGCTCCCATGAATCGACCGCAGTTGGTGCCGCCAGAACGTCAAGGGAGTGTATCTACTAGATTGGAGGAGGTAGTAACGATGTCGCGTCTGCCTGGAGATGGTCATAAGAAGTAGTAGTTCGTTCGTCAACAAGCAGACAGAGAAAGACAGGATATTATGTTTGGAAGAAAGGTTTGGGGTCCTGCAAACATCTCGTGCAATGTTGAGAATTGTCAAAGAGGAAGCAGAGAGAACCTTCCAATCGGCGGCGAGACAGATTAAGTGCGCTTCGCTCGCCCAAGTACAGGGAAGCAGACGCGGGCCTGACTCTGCAACGAACACGACCCGTTGCACGACGTAGAAACGGGGGAACCAGACTGTAACCGGAGCGAGCACGGATTCCGAACCAAAAGCGTAACGACCTGCCAGTAACAAGTTAGAAACACGGTACGACCATGCAATGACGACGCAGTACAAGCTTTCCGTATCCTGAAGCGGATGCCCCGACAGCCTTGGAGGGATCCTACGATTACCGGCAATCAAGCTTTCGAGGCATGTCAGTTCGATACTCATGAGCGCCTAATTAAACGTAGACCTCGACGAAGCAAGGGACGAGCGTAACCCTTGAAGCAGATATGACGAACGTACAGCTGAACTGGTCTAAGTTTTCGGCCAGAAACATCCCGGCTTCACAAGCCGTTGCTCAGTTTGAAGTCTAATCGGAAACAATGTGCGGGCGCAAATCCCCTCCAGTTGGTCACCCCTGCCACAGTGCCGATGGATTTCACTTACTCCCACTTTGTAAAGCAAAACCTTCTTCTTTCTTCTGCTCTTTTCGGAAGTCTCTCATGAGTTCTTTCTAGTGTCCTAAGACGACAGCATTTGTCAAGAGAGTCTCTTTGGGAATACCCACCGGTCGGCGACCCCCGCCACAGCGCCGATCCTCTCCTCCCCTCCCACGGGTGGTCCCGCCGTATCTTTTCCGGGTCCCACGAAAGCTTGCACTGATCGCTTTTGTACTCGTCCCGCATGAGGCACCGGTGGTACTGAAACCCGACCCCAATCAGGTCGTAGTGCTCCGCAGTCGAGCAGTAACTGAGCACGGGGGGCAGGTCGGGGGATCGCTCCGAGCGAAGCAACCGGGGGGAGGCCTCGATGTTGACCGCTATCTCCACGTGGTCGGGAATGCGCCCCTGCTTGATCAGCAGCTTGAACATCTGGTTCACTTGGTCGGCCCTGAGGAGGGATAGAGGTCGCAGTTTCTGTGTCAATCCTACATCTTTCTTGCATCAATAATCTTGGAAGGTTTGTGCACGTTGCGGGGGTGTCTCCTACAGTGGAAGCGTCTGCAGCCAGCAGTCGCACCTTCCTGAGTGAAGAGGGGTGGGGATCGAAATTGACCTTCAGATTCGAATGTTTTGCCACATCGCTCCTTTGATCATACATGGCCGCTTAACAACTAATATCGCCGAGAGGCAAAAATTGGGCCATTCATTGTACCAAAAAAGCCATCGGATGGCTGCTGTGCAATCAACATGGCCAGGTTTGACGGAAAGCGGATAGAGAGGTTCATAGCTTTGCTGGACCACCGCGTCCCTTGTGAGGACGTGTTTGCAGCTCAGAAAGAAGTGACTGTATTCGGCAGACGTATAGGGAGGGTACTGGAATGAAAGTTGCACGCTTGGTTGACGACGTTCTTCATCCACATTTAACAAGCATAGCAAGCTGAGACTGCAATCACTCGTCCCCTGCAATTCTTGTATCTTTGAGTGAAGCCTTTATTGGACAGACATAAGATCTACGGAGCTGAAAAAAGCTTCAGCTCCCTATTTGAAGCAGGTAACTTGTTTCAACATCGTCGACATTATGCAGACAATTGCTCATGAAGACCCCAAATTCCTCGAGGTTAATTCAAGCTCAATTTGAAATCTTTGAGCTGGTCATGACAAGACTTCATAGCTTTTCATTTCAAGCACTTAAAGTGATACCAAACCATTCTTCAACCAGACAGTCCACCTCTCGTTGGTCATCTTGTCTTCTCCTGTCAGAAACTTTACTTGTCAGCTTTTCTCCGTGCGTCAGGAAGCTTCTTAGACACAAACAGAGATTTTCTCAACCAATAAGTAGTCACCTCACCGGTACCAGTAGCTCCACTTTTCGCTGACCTTCTCGGGGTCCTTCACCATCGTTACTGTTCCATTCCGGATTTTGAAGTGCACGCACATCCCAGTCTTATTCCTCTGGGCCGCCACGTCAGCGTACGTGAACCCCCCCTTTTTGTACGGCGCCAGCTGCTCGTCGATCTTCTGCTGCAGCAACGCTCGCCGCCGCTCGGGGTCTGAGGCGTCCTCCCACGAGGGGGGGTCTTCGCCTTCCGAGACCCCAGCGCGTCTTTCGGCTGCTTTGTCGGCTTCGAAAATTTCATACTCAAGCGCCCCTTCGATCCGCTCTAGTTGTTGGTTGTCTTCCTGTGTGAGCACCCCCCCCAGCGGATCCTTGGTTCCTTCTGCCGGGGGGTCCGTCGGCCTGCCTTCTTCACCCCACTTTAGAATCCCCACCTCTTCTGCGCTCGTTTCCTGGAGCGCCTCATCCTTGAAATCAGGCAGCAAACCCGCTTTATTGACGCGGTGAATTTGGAGTCGCTGGCCGTCCGTTGTTTGGACCAATGTGTCATCCCATATGCCTGCTTCGCTAGCTTCCGTCCCGTTTCCCCTGGTGCTGATGTCACCTTTCTCACCCCCCGTGAAAAGTCCCACAATGGAACCGAAGAGTGACCGCCTGTTGGACCCCTCAGGCACGCCGTCGAAGTCCCCCGCTCCTTTTCTTGACAGGACCGATCCCACAAAGCGACTCTCAAAGCTCGGTGAGTCATTGACGCCATCGGCGATGAAGCTTTCTTTGTCTGCGGGGAAAGCAGAGCTGAAGTTAACAGTAGGGAACTTTTGGGCCATATCGATCGAGGAACGAAAAGAAGCCTCCATGTCGTCACATCATGCCGTCTGTATAATGCAACTTTCTGGAAGAGAACTCTGCATTTCAATGAATTGCGATGCTTAGATATTCCGTAGACCACCATAGGCATGCTTGATGTCATGTAACTTGGCACCAGTCTCAGTCCATCCGAGTCTTTCAGCAATGAGCCTTCCACCGAGAAAACAAAGTGGATTGCAATTTTTGTGGCGGTTCTGCCTCTCTCGGACAGCAAAAAAAGTAGTCTTGTCACACATGCTTAGTCTCACATGCGAGTTAATAAGAGATCAACTCCCAGGTCACAAGCAATGAGAAAGTTTTGTGATGCAAGCAGCCTTAAGTCAATGAGAGGTTTGGTCATGTCCAAGACAATAGACTATAAGACCCTGACAGGGCATCAGAGCGTCAGAGCACCCCTGTCTTCAGATCTTCAACAGCGGCTAAGCAGCAGATGCCAAACACAGCTCTCAACCAAGGGGAACCAAGAATGAAGTAGATGACTCTTTCCTGATATGAAATAAAGATTTCCTCTGCATTGCAATCAGAGCTGTCCGAGACGCACGCCTAAGCTGCCAACATCACCACCAATCTCAGCTGTTAGAAGCAATTACAAATAAGAAATTGTTGAAGTGACAGTAAATTCTCTTACCCTCGCTACCTCCAACATCTGTTGATTGCAAGAACTGCGAATGCCGCAGGTGAACCACCAGGATGTGGAAAAGCAGGATCACGGTTACATTTCGGTACGAGAAGAAGGAACGCACAGACGGGACCGATGGGAAACTCTTTTTCCCTAGAAACTTCATTGTGGAGAGAACCGCAGGAAACTCATTCCAGCTTTTACCACTTGGTCCTTGATGAGCTCACAACTGCCGGTCTAGCAGCTGAAAGCGTCCTAGAAGCTTCCAATCGTCGCAGCCTTTCTCTTCTCAGTGCATTCCCATATATATTCGCAAATCCGCAGCTCTGATGTGGCCGCTTGAATTCATGCCTGATCTTCTCAAGAGGCGAAGACTTTTCTTTGATGTGACAGAAACTCGAAGCTGCCAGCATTGCCAATGGTTCACCCCTTTGCTTAAGTTCCTATCAAAGCTGCTGCTGGCCCCATGAGTAAATGCAGAACGAAGATTACGGTGAAACCGCCTCCCCATGATTCAATGATTCATCTTTCTCCAAGTGGCACCCTGCCAGCTCCTAGTACTATGTGAACGCCCATCTGGTTTTAAGTTTCACAGGTAGTCACTTCAAAGGCGTTCAAGAAACTGCATGGCTCCACCCTCGAGCTCTAGCCTCTAGGATAGATCAAACAGGAAGACGAAGATCTCTACAAGTTCAGCATCTCGATGTGCTGCATTCACCACACAACTGTTGATCAAGGACTGCAGTAAACTAGGTAGTATTACGAAATGCTCAAATTGGCACCAGGTTTGAGGCAGACTTCTGCTATGCTGGGGCCATTGCCAGAATTCACGGTGAAGTTACAGTTTAAGTAGATAGTGCCTGCCTGAGCCTGCCACGTGAATATACAAGGCTATAATATAGGAACATGCTCATTGGTAGTCCTGAGCTTGCTGCAATGATTGAAACTGCGTTGCGCAGCTTTTGGTATCCAGGGCGGACTGAACGGCGGCAGACCCGGTCATGGTACGGGTTATGTTACATGTCCACGATTAAAAATGTTGTGTTTAGTGAAGTATTTTAGGAGCCCCGGTCGCCTCAACAAACATCTCATGACCCAAAACACCTTTACGCTTCCACCCATTTGCAACCTACGGTCTACTTAGCTATAATATCTAGGCCCTATTAAATAGCCCATCCTAAGTACTATAGTCCATAATCCAACCCCATACGCCCCCGGGTGCCAGTGGTCACTCTGATTTAAAATTTTGCAGTTGAACCGTTGAAAACCTCGTTCCCTCATTAATTTTAATTGAATAAAGGAATCCTAGCCTTCTAACTACCGTTCTACGTTGCCAATGCACCGTAACGTACGGAAATTCCGGGCCGCCGCGGCCCGCCCGGCCCGGGGCCGCCAAACATCATGCATGCCACAGCAACTTATTTAGCGTTAAATTAAATTGATCAAAAGGAATCTCCTTCGTTAACATCAAAATACTTAACCTTCAAAATTGTCTCCTCCATATTAGTTTACCTTCTAAATTCCCAAGCTAACCCCATCCGTTTGAGGCTGGCTAGATATTAAAGGGTGAACTTGTACCTAAATTGGCCATGCAAACTACGCGTTCCAATGTCAGATGCGAATAATGCGCGGCGCAGCAAGTGACATCATTCGGGTGTCGTACAACGGAGACTTGCCGAAATATAATCAGCTGGAAGTACGTCCCGACTCCCCACTACCCGGGGGATGAGACCCGGGTTCTGGAGTCCCGACTCGTGCTGAGTCGTGACCCTTGGACTGTTCCGTCTCAACCGGTCGGTAGAACATACCTATCGCAGTCGGATTTGAAATGTTACTGGATGTACCCTTTATACACGGGAAATTATTGGTAGATTTCCAGGAATCACGTGACCAGCCCTCTTAGCTAGTGGCCGGAATTGTGGGATCCCCCTTGCGCCGAGCAACAGAAACGGCAACAACCTCGTGAGTAGCTCCCTGATTCACTGAACTGAAGATAGGATAGGTAGGCAAGTAGGTACCACGGCCGGTCAGCTTTCGAACGGGAGCACTGAACCGGCTGGAAACAGAATATTGCTGTCTGGTCGATCAGCAAAGTGCGCACTGCCCAGGCGGCATTTATTATCGAGATCGACGGTCGCTATGTACCTAGTCCTACCGTCACATTGCAGCCCAGAATGAACAATCTGAGGACACCACGCTCATCAGCTGGAGACGTGGGACTCCTATACCTGGCGATGGTCGCTGGAGCACGGGTGCCAAGGGCCGCACGGCGGCCCCTGGGAGGCGGCGACGACCTCGACTTACGAGGAATTATACACCCTTTTTACCCCGCACGCGGCATGACCCGTAGTGCGTTTGCGAGGGATCGAACCCAGGTCCCTCGCAGGCATTGACGTCATCATTTCATCACCCAGTGAAGGGGAAATCCCTACGCCTT